ATTGTAATTTTTGTATTACACGCCTCCCAGCTGATACACATGCCTTTAAAACAACCCCACGAATCAATGGATAACAAACTCAAGCCAAAATATTGAATCCATCACTACTAACGTAAAGACAAGTTTACATAACACAGTTCATGCATGTCATGCTTTGCCTCATGAGATGCCCCTAATATATGATCTGATATAATCAAATAGCTATTATGGGTCAGGCAAGGACAGTTTTTCTGGCAACACATTGACACATTGCAACAATTAGCTGCCTTGCCGCGTGTTTATTACTATTGCCGCTATGTAGCCTCATGCATTGTCTCCTGTAAATCAGCCTTAAAGACTACTACATCATTGTAAATTATATAGTCCCATGAATCATTTGAGTGCATTGTATGTTGAAATAAGAAGTTAGTGAGCTTAAAAGTAAATGCCAGAGACAATAACATTGTTTCAGGTAAATAGTGAAAGAAAAAACTGGATGCACCTACCACCGAATATGTATTATTATCATACACAATTTGATTGATATTGGTTTGGTTAGGTCACAGTGCTCTATCCATGGTCTGGAAACGGCTATTGTCTAAGGTGTAAATTACCCGCTGTGCTTGGACTGCGCTGGGTATGGCTTTCCGCGAAGCATAGTCTCTTGATATCAGAGGATTTTATTGAAACGAACGATTCATTGTTCCCTTCATGTTCTAGTTTTTACAACCGAAAAAAACATATATTTTGATAATTTATATAGATTTAGAAGCTCAACATAAGTCTTTAGCCGGCAAGTCTTTCTATAGTGGCATATTGACATTATTATTCGTGAATATCGCACTTAAATTTGAGGACAGGGATCACAACTTGGAACACGTCTAACAACCTTGACCGGTTGGGCCCTTCTATTTGTCATGTGTTTTAGAAAGATCAATGTTTTTTTAGTTTATTGGATAGCTTAAACCCAGTTGTAGTTGGTGGATCGGTTCATTGTGCTTGTTTTATTATATTATATAAAGTATACGTGTCATATTTAGGCATCACTTTTTCCGTTCAAAATATTGATGGCCTCTCGCCGATTCATTGCCATTCGAATTTTCGTGTCATTATTTTTGTTTCCAAGCATATATTTGGGATGTAGTTTACAATGCTGGTGACATCATGTCTCTAAGAATAAGATCCTGCAGTATCAATTCTTTAGCACTGCCAGAAATTGAGTAGGCAGACTTTTTTTTCGCCCCACTGAGAATTTATTTACGAGCGCCATTTTGTTTTTGATTTACTAACTTGCTTGACGCGAGTCAGCGGGTTGGCCCATTTTATAGTATGAAAACCATGTTCAACCATAATATTTTTTTCAATGTGAATAGATTTGTACATTAACCTTTTGGTGATGTAGTTAGTTTTTTCTCAGATGTTCGTATTTTGACAAATCACGGTAATATGTTCTGTTCTGTTTATAGTTTGTGATCACAGTGCTAAAGTTAGTGTACGCACAGCTTCGTGGCTCATTGTCAAAGGTGTGAATGGTTTATTTACCCGTAACCAGCCCTGGGACAATAGACTGCGAATTTTTTCCAGACCGAGAATAGAGGGACTGTGGTCAGGTTTAGCTAATTTTTTTACCAGGCTTTAGCATTTATAGTATCATGAAATGATCACCTTGCATTACCAGTTGGATACATTTGATGAGATCATTTACACAAAAATAGATGCATATGTATTTGTATCAACCATTGGTCATTGTATCCCAGAGAATTTGATAAAAAAACAAAATTGCAGCCAGTCGTACAAAGTAATTTCTGAGAGCAAGCTTTGGACATATTTAAGTATTAGGATGTTTTATGTCCAAACTGGATGCCAGATGACATTATTTGATCGACTAAAAAAAATGATGTGCATATGTATGACATCATGTAACAAGTAAGATATAATTTGGTCCAAGAAATGGCTTCGACAAACAAGTCCCAAATTAATAATCTCAGTGTTTGGATTTTATTCAATGCAAGAACATATCTGACATACAGCACAATACTGTGGAGATAAACTTGTTTATACTCACTGTGGATACTAATTTATCAGATGTCCATCTTTGCATAAGATCTCCTATATTCACAAGTATACTTCCCTCCAAGGGCTTGGCATCCACAAAAGTACCATCAATATTTTTGATCTAGAAAGACAGATGCATGATATATTTATCTACTCCACTTATACATGTTAAATTAATTCAAACCTCAAGTCAAGTTTAAGTTTATACCTTAACTGGTGATGGAAAGCTAGTTGTTGTTTATGTAAGGATACACCAAGTGTTCAGAAATAGTGAAGCAGATTTTATGATTTTGGCTCAGTGTTTCTCTGAGTGATGGAAACTATCCCTAGATATCCATGGTTGATGGGTTGGTTTGGTTAGTTTTACTTCCCATTCCCAACTCCTGGGTTCAGAGGCAGAATTTCTAGACTAGTTCCTGATAGAGAAATGTTTTACACTGTTTAATCTTTTTCAACATTGCAGGTTTTGGGATGGAAGTAAGGATATTTGAAATGAAATTTGCACCGATTGGATGAGAAACTATGCACCACTAACTTGCTGGGCTGCAATTGGCACAAAACTAGCACCAAAACCAGTGCCAACCCTCACAACGAATTTAGGAATGCTGTGTTTGATGGAAGGCATTAAACATTGTACTTTATAGATAGATTTATTAGATGCTCATTTACAAATACATTTGAGCAACATGTGTTTCCGGGAGAGAGTGATGAAAGGATAATGAAAAAAAACGTTCCCAAACATTCAAGAATGACCACTAAAGACAGTTCAAGCTGAGTCCAATTGCTGATATATCGAGCATAAATCATGGGCACAAATCCAAACATTATTGGAAGTTTTCAGAAACTTTTTACAAATATTAATATTATATCATTATTAATGTATGATTGTTTCATCCCAAATTACCAGGCAAAATTTGGAGACATAATAAATATAGCAATTTCGAACATTTTTTCTAAAAATTTGAATCAGTGACACTAATTTTAACTTTTCAGTACTTTAATGGCATAAAGCCATATAATAAAAGCTTCAAGAAGATGACATATCTTCAATAAAATATTCATTAACTTTAAGATCCTGTCTTTTGCATAAAATCGAAATAAAATCAGCACAAACAAAGGTCACAGCATTGTGTGGCGTCGAATATAGCAAATGTAATTTTGGGGTATTTCAATACTTAATAATGTAGGATACACATTTGATTATAACCAAAGAAGTAAGGGTATCTCAATGCCATATTCTTTTTTGGAATACAATTTCAAAATCGGTTCATGTCTTTTACATATTAGGCAAGGCCTTGCAGTGAAAGGTAAAATAACCTATTAGGCATGAACATATACTTACCTGTAGTCCTCCAACGTCATCTTGGAATAGTAATGTAACTGATCCATAATCTGAATGCTCTCCACATCGTATCTGATTAGGTTTAATTTCATCATTGGGTATCGGTGGATACCAAAGTGTTCTTAATGCTGTATCATTTGCTGGACTCCCAATACCATTATGGGCTTTCACAAACAGTAATGGATCCTAATAAGAAAAAAAATAGCTGTTAACATTGCTATTGTCAACCCCCTTTAAATATATTAATCTTAATGAATTACATCATTTAATATCAAATTCAAACATTGGACAAAACACAAAATAGTAGCATATACACTGTACTAATAATTGTTTTAGAAGCTACCATTATGTCACCTCATATGCTATAAGTAAAGAAATATTCAAGATAAAGGGAATTTTTGTGACTTACTTCAATTTCTAATCCTCTTGCCATAATTTCCAACATTTGGTTACTCAACTCTTTACATTTACCATATAAAGCCATCAGTGATCCTGAGAACTCTGGCACCTCTTTCTCTGGTAACATCTAAAACACAATTTGCAGTAAGTACCTTTATATTCAGCTTAAGGCTAAAACGTATTAACACCCACAGTGGCTAAAATATAACATTGTTATATTTTTCATAGCCATTAATTAATTGAAAGATTGTCTATAACCCCTTAGCATGTGCTCTGATGATATATTCTGGCTCCCATTGACGACAACTACCGTAAGACCATCGCTGATTGGCTGCTGAGTTGTAATAACAATTATTTGTTTGTTTCTTCTGAAAAACATGTTTCGCAACTGGTCTATTAATTTAGTTCCATGTGTTATTCAAGATAGCGGCCCCCATAAAGTAAATGTGCACCAGCTTACTGTGGTTGTACACAGATTTGCTGTGCTATTGTTTGGGTTATCAACATCCGGATAACGTCTGGTCAGGGGTCATGGTGTTGAAGTAATCATGTTTTTTTATATGTAAATAATAAGGGTGCGTACGTTGTTTTATTATATAATTCTGTGACAGGCAATAGAGGCAATACATACGCGTAACAAGATCGTTACTAGTTTATTACTAACATGGCTGAAGAAGTAACAATAACAACAACAAAAGCGTATACAATAACTATAATGAACTCGAGAGGGCGCTGCCCTATGTGAACTAAATAATATTGAAATGGTAATGTCTATGTATTATATCTATAATAGGACAGTCTGTCACAAATTTACATTGCAAGAAATTGTATGCAAACCATTCAAATTTAGAGGTGATATCCAATTCCAATTTTCATTAATTAGTTTTCATAATTCCAGTATTTAGGACATATCAATATTTGTATTATTTGTACAAATCTGGTATACATTATTTATTTATAAACAATTTTAACTTTTCCTATAAATCATTAAAACGCCACCAACGTCTATGGTTTGCAAATAAAGTTATGTTCATCGAGTCGCAATTATTCATACACTTTGATGTTCGCGCTTCGTTATTTACATTCAATGCACTTAGTCAAATTTATTTAGCAATAGGAAATACACGAGTCTGTATCATTATTTACAAATAACGAGCTTACTTTAAATATAATGGTATTTATTTATAAATAATGCATTTTGCTGCATAATATGTAAATAATATTACACACTTTTCTGATTATATAGGAAACACAATTTTTTGTATAAAAATCACATAAACAAAATAAAGTATATAATACGTTGATTCTTAGTTTGTAAATATCTGCTGCAAAAAAAGATTATTTTCATAGTTTCTTTATGTGTATAACTTACCTCATGTCATAATTAAATAACATGAAAATAACTTATTAAAAAATAATAAAATTTACATAAAGATATTATATATATATATATATATATATAATAGTATGAATCTTTAGAAATAAAACAAAAATGTTAACTCATGAGTTCTATATACTGTGAAATAATTTATTTTCACTGGAATTAATTTTTCGCTGAAAAGACTTTTTGGATGTTTTGCATGGAATTTATTTTCACTGATTTTTGGTGAGTTGAATGTAAAATATAGAAAAAAAGATATATTTGCTGGATTTTATTTTCACTGAATCACTACTTCAGCGAAAATTAATTCCAAGCGAAAATAAAGTATTTTACAGTAATTGATTTGAAAAATCATTATTTATTAATAATGAAAAATCATATAATTTTTTTCATATAGCTTAAATCCATAAAAAAACGCTATATAAATAATTGCACAAACAGCACCCCATACAACTGTATTGCACAATATGATGGCTGAATGTCTTTTATAATTTATTTGTGAAAACATTCACTGCAAACATAGGCACTACATCATGTGTACTTATCATATGTGTACCAAACCTGGGTTCTCCTAAATCAATAGAATAGGGACCCCTATAATTTTGAATAAACAATATAGCTTAATTACCATAATAATGAATACAGTGTATAATAGAGGTGATTGACATAGTATACTGTTATGCAAATTAGCTGGATGCTAAGTTACTTTCGTGGAGAGAACATAGCGATACTCTTTATAATAATACTGTATACGAAACAATTACGTGCTAGGCTAAATTACAAGTTGGTAAATATGAACAGTAAAAAATAAAGTGTATTGTGCCAGTAAATTTCAAACCTGTACATCAAATCCCCATAAAGGGCTGTGGTTGTCACGCCGCGTCCTGTTCGATATGGGACTTATAGCGACGTATACAACGCGTGTAAAATACATTGATGGTTTACATGAAATTCCAACATGCGCTACGCGACGACCACCGCCCTTTAACCTTATACATTGTACAGTGAGTAATTATACTTCTACAGTATACAGTTTATTTTGCCTGCAACAATTATATTTATAAAGAGGAAAGATGCTCTTCATTATCTATGTATATGGTGCATATGCCAGAATCTATTCTGATTTCAAACATCAGTCTCACACCAAGCTGCCTGAAATTACTTCCAAAATTACCTAATAAGCCGGAATTATCCATAAATTCACAAATTTAACAATCTTATCCAAAGTCTTGAAACATTGGTACTTCACATTTTGTGAGACACAATGGAGTCAACGACAACGACAACAGGCATTTTCTCTCCATATACATCTCCGTATTCCCATGCTGCTCCTCTTTTCAAAAAACTAAGAATACTAGACATTTTTATTTATTTATTTATTTAATTATTTATTTATATGTATTTACTACCTGTGCAACTTCTACCTTTACCTTTGTTTTTTTGTTTTGTTTTTTTTGGTGAAATAAATTTCATTCATTCATTGACCTTCATCTATAACCATAATAATAACAATTAAATAATATCAATTTGTATAGTACTTGTAAGTCATATAAATGATATGACTTTTTTGGCATAAGTAATGAATCAAAAAGACATATTGCGCATGTTTTTTTTCACTTCATTTTGGGCATTGATTATCTTCAAAAAACTATGGTAATTCCACACTTTATTTCATTTCCTTCATTCATGTAACACAAAAACCATCATTGCAATGCGAAAAAAGTGACATTAATATTATATCTTTGAAGACCATAAATTTAATCTAACTTTGATACTCACCTGTAGTTTTCCAGTACATTCTTGTGGAGCAAAATTGAAAAGTTCTTTATAATCTCCCGGTCTATCAGGATTCAGTCTGAAAATAAAAAATGTAATTTTTTTCAACCAAACAAATCTTGACATGACAGAATCATCATCAGTTAATTACTAAACAAAACTGAAATATGTCAGCAATTCTTAATCAGAACATGGAACAAATTACCTGATATATAAAACAGAGGGGGCAGCACGAAATTTGTCATGGGGAGGGGGAGATCTGCTCACTAATCTTATCTAACCTTACCTTACTTAATTTAGAAATATAGACCCTCTGAAACGCTATTTCCTGCATTTTGAGGGGCAAATTTTAATGACACAAAGGGTTCCAGCTTGATTGGAGGGGGGGTGTTTTAGAGGGGGCAACTGCACCCTCTGACCCCTGTGTTGCCACCAATGTATGATGTATTTCATGTATAACTGAGATCTAGGTTCAGAAATATTTGATCGATTTTTACATTAAAATGGTCGCCATTCAGCCGACTTGAATCTGATTAGCACAACAAAATGACGTGCAACAAGAATGAAATCTATCCATATACAAACTAGGTTCATTTCCGAAATGGCAAAAATGCTTCGATGAACATAAAAATGGACGCCATTCGGCCATCTTGAATGAGATTATGAATTAATGAATGAACTTATGTAACCCAAGACGTATAATAGATGTGTGAAATTTGAATGTGATCAGCCCAGGTACGTCAAAGATATAAGCGGGCATGCATACACACATGGATGGACAGACACAAGATAGTCAATTCATAAGAAGCATTGATTGGCAATCATACTTTGCCTTTATCAATAATTTTTTTTTTAAATCTGTGACTGCTATTTTCTCTGAGAAAACACAGAAAAAATGAAAAAAAACTTTCACCTTTCACCCCAAAAAATTATACTCATCATACTCAAAAATACAGGCTCATCATCATTGTTGCACTGGGGTCAAAGGTCACTGATTTCATATCTATCCAAGTTATCAATACAGTTGGGTCTGTTTTTCTGGATAAATTGAAGTGCATTCTGTCATTTCAGGTGAAGTCTCATGTTTAAACTGAAATACATTGCGAATTTCATGAATTAGGAAAAATAGTATAATTTTAAACATATCACACTTCAATCTGATTAAAATCCGATGTAGGTATGAGGCTCCAATTTTTTTTTTTTTTTTTTTTTTTTTTTTTTAAATATTTTTTGATAACCCTTTATATTATATTTATTTGTATTTTAGTTTGATTAGGTCGATTTTTTGGTTTTTCTTGCCATTAATCAGTTCTTAGAAAATCGTGTCCCAGTCGCCTCTAACTCTACGGACCCAGTTGAAAGACAGCCTCATTACATTATTCCAGATTGCAAGACTATAAACATTTGCCCAAATGGGGAACATTGGATTGTCAGTCGTAAAGACTCCTAGAGACAGTACATCCATATTTTATTGGATGGTTGACAAACTAAGAGAAGAGAACGATACTTTCCCACAGACAATTACTTATTGTTCATTAGCTCTTTATCATTATTTCAAAAACTAGTATTCCCAGTCAGTTTTTATATGCGAATGTACTATAAGGAAACTGACAGTATTGTACAAGAATCGCATCTAAAAGAAATAGCTGAAGTGACCAACTAAAGTTTGAGATTAATATTCTGCCACACAGCCTTTGGTATGGAAATTTTTATGAAAACAACTCATGTACTCCATTTAGATCCCTCTTTCGATATTGAAAATTATAATACAGGGGTAGGGTTGAGTTGGTAGAGATGATGAACCATCTCAGCAGTCTTGTTTTGTCATGTAAATTGAAGATTTTTGCATCAAATGAAGATATCAGTGACACGAAGAGCAATAAACCACATCACCTAAATAAGTGACACGTTGGTTAATGTCATGAAACATAGCATATATTTACAGGTATATTAAGCCATTAAATTTTTTTTCAGCTGTTTTCATAAGCATAACATGTTCATCTGCTTAAAAAAACAATTGACAGAACAAGTACCAATAAATATATATTTCTCAAAAAAAAAAATATGTTTGTCAATCACTAATTTACTGAAAATACTCTTATAAAAAATAAAAGTATTTGGCAGCTATTCATCACATTTTTAGAATTTTAATTTTAGTTGTTGCTAAGTCAACAGGAATATGTGGCTACCTACTATTAGTTAATTGTGATGGTACTGTTTATCAAAATGGCACAACTATTCCAAAATGCCTGTTGAGAATCTTAGTTAAACAACAAATTGATAGATACTAAAGATATCTGGTGGATTTTTTCTTTGTGTGACCAAAGATATAAACTGAGAAATTCAAAAACACTGACTAAAAAATACTAGTAGATGGATTCAGGAATCAATTCTGATCAGACATAGACAAGAACAATGAAGTCATCAATAATTCACAAAATCAACAAAAAAACAAAAACAAAACAGAACTGATATGAAAAAAAAATTATAGCACAGAATCATGTCTAAGAAAATACTAATTAACATGATAAATTAATCCATGTTCTGCATTAATCTCATAACGTAAATTGTATGAAATTTGCATTACAAGAGTTGGTGAAAAAAAGCACACTGTGCTTGTAGCCTCTCAGCTGAGATAGCTGTGCTGTTAGCAATGCACATCAATAAATAAAATATAGGTGATTAACATAAATATTATGTAAATTAAATAAATACTATCGACACGCGAATACTATTAGTTTGTTTCTAAAACTGAATCCACAAACAACACATTCATCTGCCCTGGGAGATAATTGTTTCTGGGGTGTCACGTTCTTCCTGAAAAAACAAACAAACATGGAACATGGTGAATTGATCGCTAGCGTTGTTGGCCCGATCTTAAACATTCGTGATTGGGATAAAACGACTTGAAGTTGATACCGGATCACTGACGCCGATCCAGAGGCAAAAAACAACATTACTGGCATATGTAATTCATCTGCCACCAAACAGAAATGAAATGCAATCACGGCTAATGCTACTTACTTGTTATTTTAGACAACGATCCATCATCGAAAAAACTGCATTGTTAATAAGTTGTATGAGGTCCAGCTCACACAAAAGTAGCTGCCGTACGCCGCCATGTTTTCAGTCATGCTCAAGCGCGTTTGTAACCTGTGATCTGATTGGCTGGTCCCTGGGCGAGATTTGTACGAGATTTGTATAGGCATTTGTATGGGACACGATTTTCTAAGAACTGATTAACGGCAAGAAAAACCAAAAAATCGACATGATCAAACTAAAATACAAATAAATATAATATAAAGGTTATCAAAAAATATTTAAAAAAAAAAAAAAAAAAAAAAATTGGAGCCTTATACCTACATCAGATTTTAATCAGATTGATCACACTTAAGACAGGAAACAAATTACACCGGGGTCTTTAAGACAAGGAACAAATTACACTAGAGTCTTTATGACAAAAAACATATTACACTGGGGTCCTTATGACAGAGAATATATGATACTAGGTTCATTAAGACAGGAAACAAATTACACTGGGGTCATTAAGACAGGAAACATATTACAATGGGGTCATTAAGACAGGAAACATATTACACTGGGGTCTTTAAGACTGGAAACATATTACACTGGGGTCATTAAGAAAGGAAAAATATTACATTGGGCTCTTTAAGACAGGAAACATATAACACTGGGGCTTTACAACAGGAAACATATTACACTAGGGTCCTTAAGACAGGGAACAAATTACACTGGGGTCATTAAGACGGGAAACATATTACACTGGGGTCCTTATTAAGACAGGAAACATATTACACTGGGGTCTTTAAGACAGAAAACATATTACACTGGGGTCTTTAAGACTGGAAACATATTACACTGGGGTCTTTAAGACTGGAAACATATTACACTGGGGTCATTAAGAAAGGAAAAATATTACATTGGGCTCTTTAAGACAGGAAACATATAACACTGGGGCTTTACAACAGGAAACATATTACACTAGGGTCCTTAAGACAGGGAACAAATTACACTGGGGTCATTAAGACGGGAAACATATTACACTGGGGTCCTTATTAAGACAGGAAACATATTACACTGGGGTCATTAAGACAGGAAAAATATTACACTGGGGTCCTTATTAAGACAGGAAACATTTTACACCAGGGTCATTAAGACAGGAAAAATATTACACTGGGGTCATTAAGACAGGAAAAATATTACACTGGGGTCATTAAGACGGGAAAAATATTACACTGGGGTCATTAAGACAGAGAACATATTACACTGGGGTCCCTAAGACAGGGAACATATTACACCGGGGTCATTAAGACAGGAAAAATATTACACTGGGGTCATTAAGACAGAAAAAATATTACACTGGGGTCATTAAGATAGAGAATAAATTACACTGGGGTCCTTAAGACAGGAAACATATTACACTGGGGTCCTTATTAAGACAGGGAACATTAAAATGCATTATAATTACCTCGGGAAAAGAGGTATTGTTCGTTTGTTGGTTTGACTTTTAGCAGGATGACTCAAAAGGTTTACGATGGATTCTCATAAAATTGTTGAAATTTCTGTTACAGTAGTAGAAACTGTCTCAGAAGAGAAAACTGTTTGAATTTCTTTCTTTGCTGGTGGAAATCAAACCAAATGCCAGAAGTTTCATTAATTTCAGATTCACAACATTCGTCAACTCAACCCCTATGTCAATATTCTGTGTAACAGTAATTTCAGTGTTGTGACTACTCACGCTTCTCTGCCAATCTCAACATAACCATGGTTACTATTTGTTGGTCTGGCATACTTCTTTTTTGTCTCAGTTGGCAAAGAGAAAAATGTTGATGACTGTTTCAATGCATTATCAATCTGCAACATAAAACAAATAATATTATTATTATGAATTTTAAATTTTACCATTTTTGTCTATCTTGTAATCAGGTAAAATTATAATAAGTAAAAATGCGTTATTAATTTGAAACAAAAACAAATATTATTAATATACTATCATTTAACTCACATTTTACATTACTATCAACAATCTGAAAATTTTTATAATATGAGAATTAATAATATGATATACCTCAGATTAAAATGTTAAAATGTGCAGGTATTACATTTATGCAAATTAGGCTAAAAATAACAAATGTGGGTCTCCAATAACAGGGTTAACAATTCATGTGCTACTTTCAATGACTGTGTTCTCAAAACATTTTCACAATCACGACAAGGATGGCTATGGGTGTGAGAGTGGTGAATTTTACTGCGGTGAAAATAAAATCATTGATCGTTTTATGGACTGCAGACAAAATTCAACATGAAAGACAAAAAAAGATCGCAGCCCAGTTAGGAGATACAAGTGAAATGAAAGTTGACAACAACAATCATAGTTGCCAAAAGAGAAAGTCTTGTATTTTTTTGCCATGCCCTCAAAACTATTTGTGCCTATTAATTATTTTCTCGTTCTAGTGTCAAGTCTCGCCACTGTTGACGAGTTCAACAGTTCAAAACAAAACAAATTCAAAATCATTGAACAGTTCATTTATACTCATTCTCCCGCCATCCACGACTCAAAATAGTCGGGAATACTTCAGGATGATTTAATACACCATTCTGATGATGCAAAGTATGTCTTCCTCAAGATTTGTTACAAAATACAGAAATACTATAAGAAACAAAACGATCATTTTTATTATTGCCGTTCATTACTATCTTTTCATTTACCCATGTATATTTCCATTTGCTTATTTGTATTTTAAATCATTCTTTTGTTATTTTTATCTTTACGACGGTTTTAATTATCATTCATTACTATTCACAAAGCTTCTATTATATTTCTATATTTCATTTTTTTTCAGTTTCATATTGTCTTTTTGTAAACCCCCTGTCAAGGTTTTACTTCTATAGTTTATACGCCTGCATCATGTTACAAAAGAGTCACATTTGTCTAATTTGTTTAGTAATTCATGTCCTAACCTTCAAACTGCCCAAGCATTAGGCACTCTCTCTCCTTAAATATAAGATAGAAAAATATGGGATAGAAAAAGTTGTTGCTTAGTTGTAGACTCTAAGTAGCTTGGACAAGTGGGACCGCATATAACATATGGGCCCCACCTATATCAGTATAAGTTTATTACCGACCAGGTTTCTATCTTGAAACTGCTCCAGAAAACATGTTTGTTATGTGTATTACTCATAATCACCGTCCCTCAACAGGGGACGGTGTCATAATATACAAGAACTTCGCCTCGTTGTCTAACAAATTGAACAAATAGAGAACCCGTACTCACCAGTTCGTGTGGAATACCATGGTTTGTCAAATAAAAAAAAACGATCGTCTTCAATGCATTATGTACGTCATCTACCAGTTCCTGGAAACACTCTTCGTCCGGGGACTCTCTCTGCAAACCATACGCCCTGATGTCGATTACAGGGATTGTTTGGACTGCCATATTAAACCATAGACCCTCTGACGTATATGATTAAACACACTGCTTACATATCAATAAGTGTGCGTCTGCACTTGGACGTGTATTTTGAAAGGGCAGCTGATCGCAGAAAATGACGGCATGAATATGTGCATTACTAATGCGCTTGTCACATACTATACTATGCATACTATTACTGGCAAGAAACGAACGATGAATGCACTGCGTTAACTGGATTTTACAATATATGGTTTGGGAGGATCCCATGAAAATATTTGCATGTATTTTTCACACTTTTTTAATTTGTTTACAAAAAAGAAAGAAATATGTAACAAAATGAAACATGTCTGTATAATAAGAGGGGGGGGGGCAAGGGTTATTTTCGTTCAACGTAATTGCAATATTTTTTTTGTTCGTACAACGTAAATAGAAAGACGGAAAAGGCCCTCTAACCGAATGGCGCGGTAATGGCGGAGCATTTGAGTCGGAGAGTTCTTTGGACCATTCAATGTTCCATTTTTTAACATTGTAAACTGTAAAAACATCTTTTTTTCCTTGTAAATTGTAAAAAGCCCTTTTTAAATCCCGTAAAACCGTACCAGCTACCCCCTTGCCTCCCCTCTAATAATTGTGGTTCTGTTGTAACTACTATAACCTAATTTCAATGTTACACATGAGACACTGAAACTAGTGACTCAGCTGAAGTATCGTCACCTGCGCACGCGCAGGAATTTAGTCGCAAGCGACGATAACATGCCACCTTATGCATGCGCAGTTGACCTTTCAGAATTCAGAACCTCAGAACCCTAGAACTCAGAATTTGGAGTGCGCCCCCAAACGAAGAAATTAAGGTTTATGAATTATGTTTTTTATGTGAAAAGAAAACATTCTTAACTATCAACTTAAATATAATATTTTTTTAGACCAAACTGCGCTTAATTAGCCAATTTGCATATTAATTAGCTACAAAATCATTTACATCTTATAGTTCAATGTTAGATTTCAATGATATTTGATTGAGATGTGCGAGTTTATTCACAGACCTGATAATTCTAAAAATAATTTGCTTATTAATTCCACGGATTTTTATCATGTTCATGGCTGTTTTTCTGTATACGTGAAGTTATTTCAATAAAATATTAATGACGTCATTTTGCTTCGATCAATCTGCTTTAATAGAATAGTGTTAGAATGGTGACAGAATTGGCAGTCTTGGCTAATCTGCAGCGCCCTCTATCATCGTTATGGTGCCCTCATACCGATTTTTTTACATTTCTGACATTATGACATGTCATCTCAAATGTTCAAGGAATCCATTTTTTTGTAAAGAAATCCAACATTATAGCATCCTCATACTTAATTTTGAGAAACTTCTAATTATTACCAGTCTACATGTTACCAAGTCTAGTCTACATGTTACCAAGTCTACATGTAACCAAGTCCATATGTAACCAAGTCTGCATGTTACCAGTCTACATGCTACCAAGTCTACATGTTACCAAGTGTACATATAACCAAGTGTAGATGTTACCAAGTCTGTTACAAATCTTTTATGTGATGGCACTTGCATGTATATGGTTCTTATCTCAATAATGCAAATGATTTGTCATAATAAAATGAAACCTCAGTTGAGCTCTTCAGATTTTTGTATGTGATGGCATTTTTGAAGTAAAATTCATGTTGATATTTGCCATCTTTCGAAATTCATTGAGATTTTGTTTGTACTTGATAGGATTTGACAAATTAAAAAAAAAACTGTGTCTGAACTGCTTTTTCTGATTGGCTTATACTAACATTGTATGGACATGTGTGTCAGTTCAAACGGAATATCAATTGTGAGAATGTCATTAGCAATAATTGACCACAGTTCAAAAAGGGTGGGTCATGCATGCATGCATGCATAATTCATTGGATATGGCAGATGATGTTTGTGAAATATTGCACAACCCTGTTATCAGAATACTGTTTTTTAGGGGGGGGGGTAACTTGTGATTTTGTAATCTGTTTTTTATTTCATTACAAATTGTGGTTAAGCTGTAATATATTAACTGTATTTAAGACAGACTAGTGTGCTTTGTTGAGGAGAGTCAACATAATGTGTGCACATCAATAGAAATGTTCACAGGAGTAAGTTGACCACCTGAAATGCATATGGATAAGGAATGGACCAATATATTTTTGCTATGTTTTAATTAACAGTAAAATTACAAATGTTGTTCCGACACAAATGGCGAATAATACAGTATTTTTACTCTGTTTATAGTGTGTATATCATGTTAAATCATTATAATAAAGCAAATAATGAACAATAACATAAAGGCAATAGTATCATTGATTTCACGTGTGTGCCCAGATCAAATGCACCGGTAATGTCAATAGTTAGAATATTATATATCAGCCAGATCTCAATGAATGTTCAAATCACACAATTGAAAGTATAACCCTGGTTATATTTACTGATATCTGTATATGTCCTTTAGCATACTGAAATGTAGTTCACTAAGGTGTGGGCGGACCTCTTCAGGAATGTGAACGTATGAATTATTTATGTATGGATATCTTTGTCGGACACAATTTCCATGAACATGGAGGCTTTGTATGGTAGTGCGATTACCCAATGGCTCCTTTTGGCATTCTCGGTTACATCTATGATGAAGGTTTGTCTTCTGTGGACAATACTCCCACTTTTCTTCAGGAGTAAAGCAGATGTCATATGGTGGTGCTGCTGGTGGATCAACATTAAATTGTACACCGCACTTGTAACAACAATCTTTTACACTATCAGTTGCAAGTATTACACAAAATGGCTTATCGTTATACCAGATCCTTTTGAATCTTGATGAATCAGCAGTTACTGTAGGCCTACTGACTTGTGTTGCTGGTGTAGGTCTGTATGAGTATTTACTACGCCGTCCCTTTTCCCCCATGTTTTGTTGTGTCAGATGGTTCTAGTTGTTTGGTGGTATTACTGGATTTGTTGTGAAGTAGCTATTCTAGATGGTCTGGTAACTTCTTAACTTTGTCTGCAAGGCATAAAGAATGCCCACAATTTTTCTCTGCTTTATAATGTGGACAGTCATAGATATCATGATCAGTGTACACTTTGCATGAATATGATTTTATGTTGTCACCTCTAGATGCAACACACCACTGTTGTTGACTTTTCTTCTGTAGTGTAGCCTTTTGCTGTACAGCCCCTTCATTGTTTAACAACTCTTCCGCTGCCTTATGTACAGTTTCTGCAATCCTGTCATTGACATCAAGTAAGCTACTTAGACATTCTTGGACATCCACGAACCCATTCGTTTTCAGGCTATGGTAAAAGGTAATCAATTTTCTTCTTTGAGAAAATATCTTGAATGCTCATTTTATATATCTGCTCCACATAATATTTTCGCTGTTCTTCTGTCCAGTCGAACCAGTCTTCTTTACTCACGCTAAGGTGTTCAGCTATTTCTGCCAACTCGTATTCATCGCTCAACCCAATAATTGCCACGGTAAGCTCATTATGCTAAGCTCAAAAGATAGATGTCTGTGATTATTTCCATCTTTGAGGATGGTCCCTTGGCAGTCTGCTTTGCCTCTGTGACAGCCTTCTTCTGCTTTGTTAAAATCAGATTCATACTCTCCGATTGATTAGTATAACATTATCATCTACTGGCTTGCCACCCTTTAATCTTGCTGAACTAATCATGCAGTATTTCATTATCTCACAGTGTTTGTCTAGATATAACCACTATTGTGATTTATAACTATTATCATCAGATTTGACTATTTATCTTTCCTTTATAGCAAGTGGTTCTTTTAAAGATTTCAGTCTAGTTTTCAGATCCTTTTTATCACAGCATCCATCACACCTTCTTCTTGACTATCTCTCTTCCCAAATGTGAAGTGGAATGGAAGTGTTTCTGCTCTTCATCACTCTGAATTTCAATTTTTCTCAAGAATGTTTTGCTCGCTCACCATCTGTCAGATAGCCTTTCAAGTTTTCTCCCAACTCTATACAGCTTGAAACAACACATCATATAACCTTCTTAAAAGCATTGTAATCTCTGTAGTGATGGAGAGCTACTGGACCAAGAAATACAGAAGGATGGCTAGAGCTCTTACTTTCCAATGGTAGATGCTTATAAGTAAATGGAGTGCATTCACGTTTCCCATTATTGAAAGTGGGGTCTACACCAAGAGGATAACTTATAATATCTTGGCAACAGAAGCACTTCAAATCCATGATTTGTTGCTTCGTACCAAGCACCCACATGTCACATGGGTAAGTCTCATTTCCAAAGATAATTGGCTCTCACTACTTGAAGTAATATTCTTCACTTTGACCTTCATCTCTCTCAACTGCTTTTTGTTTACCAGCTGGCCAGGATGTCCCGCTTTAAGAGCACCACCACTTTCCTCCAGTATTTTCTGGTGTACAACTGCTGTAGACAGACCTGATGATAAATATTCTCTTGCTCTATCTAAACTAGACTTAGGCTTGCTATGAAAAGGTCTACCACTATCTTTAAACCATATGAGGGGACATCAAACTCCACATAATCTTTTCCATTATCTATGTGATACTGAACAATGGCTACATCATTAACAATTTTATTATTGTTGTTTGTCAAGTACATAGATGACTAAACAAAATGAAAGTCGTTTTTCTTTGAGTTTATGTTCGAAAGAAACTCATTCTCACTACTGGAGTTCAGTTTCTTGTTCTTACTCAATAGTGTTATTTCTAACTTTTCATCTGATTCAATGCATTTTATTAACCGACCACATATCAGCTGTGTTTTCATGAACTTGCGAATCATATCACTCCTTTTGTCATCTATATGTGCAACCGAATTTACATCTAGGAGGAATGCTACATTTTCACGACAAAGTGGGGCAACGTTTTTACATTTCATCTTGATTAGCTGTCCATATAATCTGCACTGCTTCTTTTGGTTCATACCTTCCACGAAGTCCTGTTGACAATACTAGAAACGATTTGTCATCCTTCCAATATTTCGTCATTTCATCCCAAT